GGTTTGGACTCTAATTGCTATCCGCTAGTCTTAAACTGCTAAATAAAAATTTTACCAAACACTTTATTTATAGCGGTTTCAAAATATATAAATTTATCAAACACCTATATTTAGTAGTTTAGGTAAAAACGCTAATCACTACCTTAAAATCACTATACCAAACGGGCCTTAATGGAGTTCACAACTCACGCATAAATTGATATGCAATAAATCTTTTTTGTTTTCCATGGGAGATATGCAATAAATCTTTTAATACCACATTTATTGTATAAGTATTCTTATAAAATCGTTGTACTTGTAGTGTTTCTGTTTTAGTCTATAATTTGGTCATTTCATCATAATTCTTACAAAATTAGCAGATTCGAATTGAGTTTCAATGAATTTGTGTTGACTTATTCATTACTATAATTAATTAATCACGTGTTCATGTCGGACTTGCTTAATTAAATTAATGACTTGTTTAATCCATCCATATAATTGAAAGACTGAGTTGTCCACCCATATAATTTTTGTCCAAATTGACGGTTTGTGGACTCGCATCCTTTTCTTTAATTTGCCAATTGCTATTGATTCTGGACTAGACTACTGATTGATTTAAAATATAGTAACTTCAGTCGGTTGGGGTCTCAGATTTTTGAAACTGTGTCATCAACTCAACAACCAATCAGGAAGAATATGGAGATGCACAGGGGATAGGATTGTGGATCTCCAACATACCTTATTATCTAAGAGAATCCCTTTCACCATCAGGATCTGCACCACTGCCCCACTCATGGCAACCGCGGTTCTGTCCTCCACATTAAAAACCAGAGTCATGCCTTTGAACAGATAGAGGGCGCCTGCCGATCATCTTGCTGGCCCTGTTAACAGAGATGCTGGGTACATTGCCACTAACTTTGCACCTGGGAACTGAAAGCTTCAAACTTGAAATCATGCCAGTATATGTACTCTTTAAACTGTCTTTTGAAATGGTCAAGCTAAAAGGCTTCCATTCAATTATACAAATTGTTACATTGAACAAAAGAAGATGGAATTGTCACTGCAATACTGGCTCTACCCGGCACTCCCAAAACACGTTTAATCTAATCAACCATGTCTATCAAAGGAAAACTAGTCTTGTTGCTTTAGCGGGTTCTGGTCCCCTTGTAAATGGAAAAGGATACAGGTTTTAGTAAGCCTGCAGAGTTTTCAGGACCTCAGGTCAACCAGAACTCAAAAATTCGATCCCAAGGTCAACCAAAATTCAAAAATTTGCTGACTTCGAGAGTGAAAATACTTCAGCAGTTTTAAAATGGTGTGTAAAAGTGTTAAAAGAAGAATGGAACAGGATGGTGATTATAGATAAAGTATGCTTTGAAAGGAAGCTTTCATCTCTAGGTAGTAGAGAACTCAACCATTTGCATTCCTCTTCCAGCCACAGCAATCTGATAGTGGTTCCTGAAAAATAAAGAATAAAATTTCCAGAACCATTATAAAGGAGAGCCAAAGATGTAAAGTTTCACGTAATTTGCTTCACCGACCTACTGCAAGCTCTTGCATCCAATGCTTCTGGCTCTGGCACGCTAATGATCAGATGAGCATGCTCAGTAAGTTTACCTTGCTCCTCAAAACGCCAGCATCTGATCCGCTGATCTAGGCCAGTAGAAAATACCCATGTACCATCCGTCCAAATGCCTTCACCAAATAAACATCAAATTTAGTCTAAGAAACAGTAACCCTGGTGTAAAGCAGCCTAAGTGAAAGACCTGTTACACTTCCAGGAATTATTGTTTATGGATTACTGGCAAAAGCACACCGTCTAAGATGGATATAAGAAAGAAAATCATTGCAGTCTATTATCTTCTGCATATGGCAGTTATACTTCTCAAAGCAAGGCATACTGGATCAGTAAAATTATAGCAACTGGAAAAGAGAAAGTAGAATATTAATTTGAAAGAGATTAAATCAAGACTACAGAGATTTTTGGCAACAAAAAGGGCAACAAGAGAGCTTAAACACAAAAAGTAAAACACACCTTATTTTCAAAAAGAAGACTAAACTGAAAAGTTTAAAATCATCATCATCATCATTTTACCTTTTACTGCAGAACTGTGAGCTGAGGTGATTCTATGATGATTAAAGAAGACAATCTGATAATTATGGGTCTGGTTTTGACTATAATGAGTGAATGTCTCAGTACTTTCTGTTTCAATAGTTGATTTTGTTCTTTCTGGGTACCACATATGAGAATCAAGGTCTCTTGAATGCAGTGACAGACAGAATCTTAAACAATGTAGTGCTTGATCATCACCCCCACTGACAACATGGAACAGGAAATCATACCCAGAACTTTGGCAGTCCATGTCTGAAACATGGAGACAATTGACACCAGACTGATGGACATTTTTCATAACATGTATAGGCCGTACTTCAGATGTCTCAGGTGAGGAATTGATATTTTCCATTCCTGAATCAATCAAAGCACCATTTGCAGCTTGAGGACAATCTTTCGTGCTGCTTTCCTGGTCAAGCAATTTTGTTGATATGCCACATGTAGCATGCGGCAATTTAGAATCATCTTCATCATCAGCTTTCTTAGTTGCTGAATTACCACCAAACCCTTTTTCAGATACGATTCTGTTTAGAGATTTCCACTGCCGTCCACCTTGGCTTCCCCTCCCTGTGCGTGGTCGTTTCTGATAATCAATGAACTTTTCTGCATGAAGAATTGAAGCCCACTGAAAAAATGCTTCAACATTCTTGGTTATATCCCAAAAGGCTATGCTTCCATCAGTAGCTCCACTGATCACAATATACATGCTGCCAATCTTGGTTTTATCTGTAAATTTTAAACCATAAAGAGCTGAGAGATGCCTATTTCCTAAATTATCAGAATTCTAGGAGTAACCACCATATTACTCCATTAACTAATTTCAAATTGAGAAAGGAATAAGAAACTGAATTTTGTGAGTTTTTAAACATTGGGGAAAATTTTTGAAATTTCCCAGTGTAGGTTATTCCATTTCCTCTCCTGTTCCATTTAACTTACATGTACGGTCTTCAGTTTAACAATTTAAACCTTTTTGCCGTAACAAATCAACACTCTAAGTGACAGAAGTGCAGTTTTTTACCAAATGATGTTATAGACAAAATGGTTTAAGTAACAGGATAAGAGAATATATTCAACCATTTCTAAAAAACTTGTGCTATGTTCTCAACTAACTCAAGAGCTCAAGAACAGACTAACCTTCAGAAGGTAGATGCATAGGAATGACAACATGCTGCAATGATAGAACTGGTGATGATGTAGGAACCAATACAGCAATATCAAACCTGAAATTATGAGGAACGTATATTTCAGGTGTGGCATGCATAGCAAGGTCATAGGAAAATTGAGTTGATCAAAGATCATGACTGAACTAATTATGAAGGAGTGCCTTGGAGCATACCATAATCTATGGGGTAAGACCAGAGCCCGCAACGCTACCGTGGCATCAGAACAAGCAACAACAACAAAACAGACATATAACCTGCACTGAAGACAAAATTAAGAAGTCTCATTTTTTCACTGTAAAACAAAAGGCAGATATTTAGCAGGACAATTCACTCATCTCATCAAACCTGGAACCTTCATGTTTAACAAGAAATGCAGTGACAGCTAGGTATCTCCAATCATCTTCATGTTTATTTCCAAGGCAATGTTTTGACTCTGCTTCCTCTTTTTCTGGAAAAGCTGACTTGCTTTTTCTGTCATTGTTGGAACTAGTAACATCACTTTGTGGTAGGCCTTTTATTTTATCCCTTCTGTTTGTGTTGGAACTTTTGGTTGGCATGTCAGAAGATAACCACTGGAAAGACATTGATGGGCTCAATCCCACTGAAGACTTATGGTCTTTTCCACCATTCTCACATTCTTGAAAATCTTTCTCTTCCTTCTCATCTGATCTACTTCTTAATAACCATGAGGTTAGGACACGCTTTGCACCAACAGAAATTAGCAAGGATGGGTTCTCATGATCATTTACAACTATGCTTTGTTCTTTTCTCCAGCCAGGCAAGCTGTTTCCATCTGAAGAAATTTTATGCACTTTGGACACAAAGCACATTGATCTAACAGCTGATCCACCAACATGTTCCCCAAGCAATTTAGAAGTCGACCAATTCTCTACTCCGGGGATAAACCTGAATCACCCATAAAGCAATAAGACATATGTGATTGCAGCATTTTGAGTATAAATGAGACAAACTAATAAGGGGAAAACTGAGTTAACATCAGGAATATTTTCAGCAATATGTGGCTCTTGATGAGTCCAGCCAGAAAAGATGTACATTAGAGCTCTAAAGCTAGATGTAGCAAGAACATGCCACAGCTCCCAAGCCAATTATCCCAAGTTACTCTCTGCTCAAGTCTAAGATTCAGCCAGTGTGATGGATCACTGTGGCATGTTTTATGTGGCAGGTGATTACTATCATACCTGGTTAACCTTACGGTTCCATCTTCACATCCAGTTGCAATCCAACTAGACTTGTCTAATAAACCCCCATTGCAATTTCTTTGACCTAACACATCTTCATATACAAAGAGTAATGCATGCATCTCTCTACCATGAAATTGCAAATGCAAATTCTGGGGGAAGATCTCTTTCTCACTTTCTAGCATCCAATTCCTACGAATATGGATTATATCATCCTGCAAAGTAAATATTATAAAGAACTAATTAATAAATGAATGCTACAGAGCAAAAATTCACAAATGAGAAGAAATAAGAGTAAAAAGAAAAATACATTTTATGTACGAAATTAACTATAATTACTTGTTAAGGAATAAGGATGCCCTAACTTAGCAGTACTCATAACTCAACCTCCACATTGGTGCAATTTCATATATACTTGGAGAACAATCCATATGGTGTTTTCTGCATGAATTCCTTGTTTTTTGGCCTGGACTGCATAATAAAAGTATTGTGTGGGCATTGAAATCACCAGAGTACCCTTAATGAATTAACATGTAAGAGAGATTCATTAAAGGTACCATGGTAACTTCCCAGCCAGACTGCACTTTTTTGTAGGCCAGACTGGAAAACACATTTTTGTTTCTGAATTCAATGGTGGAAATTTTTTTACTTATGGAAATCAACATACCTTGACATATGCAAAACAGTTCTTCGTCTCTGGTACATCACCAAGGTAGTAGGAATGAGGGCGCCGCCATCCACCACAAGGAATTTGCAGAACCTGAATCAATAAAAAATCTTTGAGCATCAAAAGAACTGACAAAATATTTTCACAGCTAATGCAAAATAGTTTACCTTTGCTTCAGTTATTAAATTCCATATTATGAAATCTGTTGATGCAAAACCAGCAGCATAATTGCAATTTGCCAAATCATCAGTAGATACAGATTGAATTGAACTCAGCTCTTTGACTTGTTTCATCCCTATGAACTCAAAAGTTTTTCGATCCTTGCCATACTCAAAATAGCATATGCACCCATCTGCTCCAGTCTAAACAAGAAAAGACAGAAAAAAGAATTGACATATTGCATATGTTAAAACACAAGGAAAATGAATAGAAGTTCATGAAGGATGATGTGTATGCATAAGCAAATTTCTGTCCTGGAATTGTAGTATCATTTTCCTAAACTTTATGCTCCTCTCTTGATTTTTTGCTTTTTTAGGGCTGTTTTGAAGTTAATTGTAGCTCCTTAGCTGTAGTATTTCTCCGCTCTTCAGGTGAGAGAAGAATGATTGAAGGCATATTCTAAATTTCTCAAAGATGTTTCTCTTCCATTGATTTGTAAAGACTAAAAATGAAGGTGTCCTAAGAATCAGTTTTCAGAAAATAGTTAAGATAAGATATATGATTCTTATACTTGCATATTTTGAGTTAGGCATTTGAGTCATACTGAGCAGATTTCAACTTGATTATAACTCAATCTAAAAACTGAAATGCTGGAGACACTTGAAATTCCATGAGCTCCTTTAAAATAATTTAGTGGAGATATCTTCACTGTTGAAGCTGCGGACATGCTCAGCAACAGGCCCTTAGACAATGGGAAGAGGACCAGATTACCACGTAGATCCCCACAGACCAGCACCTATAAAAGTTTAAGCACAATATGGATTGGAACATAGAAAATATTTAATATCAATAGTCCAAGTTCCCTTTACACACAAGATGTGCAAGCAAATCCGGACTTCAAATACTTATTATTTTCACTCTTCTTTTAATTCAGAATTTCAGATGTACTGGGAAAATTTTACAAAAAGTTGCATCTCTGCATGTCTCAGAGAGATGAGGAAATATGTGCCTATAGTTAGGGACCACATTCTCATATCATAGGATGTAATTATATTTTAAGCTTGTTACGTAACTGGAAATTTGATGGGCATACTGTAAGACACAGTTGAAACAATACCTTAAATAGACACTAATTCTGGATCGGAGAACCTCATTGAAGTAAAATTTTAAAAATAGGAAAAACATACCTCTTCCTCTAATGATGCATCCAGACACATTATGCGTGTTCCATAGCATGATGAAAATTCTGCTATGAGGGAGGCATTTTGAGTTCTTCCAGAATCATCACAAGCAGACAATGAGGCATCACTTAACCTCCACAGCTTGAGTACTCCTCGAGGATCAGTTGTAAAGACATACCTAGATAATAAAGGTGAAAACATTTCAAAACCTTCTATGTCTTAAAAAAACCGAGAAGCCTAAGACATCTTTGAGCTAACAACACCAAGATCATTAGGAAGCAAGGGTAGATTCCACTGGTGGAGAGCAATGTGAAATTAGGTATAGTGCTTATTTAAGATCAATTTGATGACTGAACTGCTTAATGCGGAATATTCCTTTGCATTACAGAAAGTTGAAAATGAATCTACATAGGTGATGGTTAAACCAACAATCAGATCAACCATGGACAATGAAAGAAATGGGCTGAGACTTACAACCTTCCATGCATGTACAACTTGGTTACTTGGCCAATGAGATCCTTGACAGATAATTAAGACATTTGTTTTGCCAACCAAAATAAAGACATTGTCACAATAACATTAAAAGCAATTACCTGCATCCCAGTGACTTGCACCAATAAGTACCTAAGAGCTGTCTCTCATTTCCAGCAGTCCAGGTAAAGGTAAAGCCTACTTCAGGAGAACCAACATCGCTATTAACTCCAACAATTGTCATGCTTCCTTTACCATCTCCAAGAGCGATCCAATCATTGATCCCACAAGAATATTCAGAAGGGTCTTTGGACAACAAATCCATACATATAACTGGAACCTCTCCAGTGACACGAACAAGCTCAGTCCATTTAACATTTCCAGTTTTAGATAATCTAGCATGGTACAGATAACCATGATTGGTTGCAATGTAAAGGGTGTCTTCACACTTGAAGCGCAAGCAACGTACATATTCACTTTTGCTGCACCAACAGGGCAGGCAATACCAACCATTAGTGATGCCGTGGGACTTGGGAAAGTGAACCTTTTTCTACCAACTTTATGAAATTTTGATATTCAACAGTTTTACCTGTTGATGAGTCCAGCATGCTCTGATGAATTTGGGATACAAGTAGTGCATATCCCTTCTCCATCAAACCTGTCTTTTGCTCCATCATGTTTTTTGTGCATCCCAGAAACAGAAGCATGTAGCTGGTGAACTTTGATTGCGGAGTCAAACCCAGCCGTAATGAGAAGTGAAGAGTTTGGATCATACAAACATCGCCATATTCCTCTCCCTCTGCACAGTGACAAAAATGTTACTACTACCTTAACTAACATTGTGATCCCACCTAGGTGCTCAACATGGTAATGAAAAAACCAAGATAGCTCAGTCTCTTATCCTAAAAAAATGTTTAGTGTGAAAACTAGAACAGCCATAATGCTCCACCTGAAGACAAAAACAATTACCGAGCAAAGAAGTTTGGATGATTCGAAGTATAAAGATCTGCTAACCATGATAATATTGACAGCAGCATGCCAACTCAAATCTTAAACAGATGCAGACACATGAGTATAGCGCTTCACTAGATAATCTAAATGCTTGACCAATGCCATGCACTTGATTTTACAATGGGTGCAGCAACAGGAGATCAAAATTTCTAAAAGAAAGGTCCCCGTTTCTCATTTAAGTCTGATTGTAACAAACTAAAGAATATTCAGGTGACTTTATACTAAAACCTGAAACCAGAAAGAATCAAGATTGTAAAAGTTTTAAACATCTGAGAGTTAAAATGGAAGTCACAAGAAGAATACAAAGGTACCATGCCACTTGTCTATGACTAGCCCCAAGCTCAGTTACAAACTGATAAAGATTTGCCAGCTTGCCACAATTTCCATAGATACATAGCATCATTTATCAAAATCCACCAAAAAAATAAAAAAATAAAAAAATAAAAAAAAATCGAACTTACATGTGTTCCTTGATCACCTGAATCTGTTTGCCATCTAGTCCCCACACACGACAGGTACAATCCTCACCAGCTGTGACAATTAACTAATGCATATCATAGAATAAAAAATCAGCTTCAACTCCTAAAGTAGATAAGTTTATACTTAGCTAGAAACTAGTTCAAATTTTATATAACATGTTTTGGCACTTCAAAGAAAGGAAAATGCAAGCGCTTTATTACATCTACCTTACACTGTGAAGTGAAATGATCAGCAATCTTGCAAGCCCATAAATGTAAGGAGTCAACTAATCTTCAAACCATAATATTGAATTCCAAAGAACGACAAAGACAGCCACTAGATAGTGCCCATAATATTTCTTACTCATTAAGTACAAATAAGAAAAGGTCCCTTGGTTATTTATAAACTCAAAGCCTGGGAAGCCTTAACTCCAAACTGGCATATGAAACATGATTCTTTATCCTCCATTTCACATTCTTAAACCCAATAAATAATAATAACAATAATAAACTAAGGACAGATCCTAAGGGCATTTATTTCTCCTTTATGACGTGAATGATGTGAACATTCATGTGATGATATAGTCTGTTAAACATACGCAACTCTCCAATGCAACTTTCAATAAGGGCAGCTTCTAGTCTCACTTTCAATTATTAGCCACTTATCTCAAATGCCAGAATGACCAATAAACAAGTTCAACATTAAGCTCGCAACTGCATTTATTTCAAATTTTATGAATGCAAGAAAGACCATTATACAAAGGACAAAAGGACTGGATGAAGCTTACTGAATTGGAGATACAGCAGTCCCAAACCCGAGCATTGTGACCAAATAGCACGGGGCCAATAACCTCCTTTCCACTAACAGAATCATGCTGCTCTTCATAAGTTGTCCAGATGCGTGCACTGTGTAAATTAGAAAAGAAATGTTACTGCCTTTCAGAATCCCCAGAAAAGCAAAATGATAAGAAATAGAGATTATTTAACTCATTCACCTACGATCATCGGAGGTCGAAACCAATTTTGATCCATCTGAAGACCACATAATGCGGAATATTGAACCTTCATGCCCAGCAAGTGTACATATGTGAACAGCATTATACTGCAGGCTTTGATTCCCAGCAGAGTTAGAGTACAAACTGCTTGATCTCATATGATCTTCAATTAGACTTGTTTGAGAAGTAACTTTCCAAACAATAATCTGTGAAAAACAAACACATAAAAATACATCATGACGTCAGATACTGCAAGGTGAGTATATTTTTACCACTAAAAATAACTAGACACTGATGACAATTTATAAATTGAGGAAAACAAAGATGCATACACTTAAGCCTACTAAAAGCTAAGGACCACCAATAAAGAAACTTGAAGAAAGAAGAGTAGTAGAGTTTCAAGTAAGAACTTCAAAAATTATAATGGGTACCTTCACATTTATGAAATTATTACAGAATTTCAAAGGAGTTAAGACAAGGGATGGCTTGAGAAGAATTATCATTTATCAGAACGAAGCTGTCATACCTCATTATAAATTGTGCCAGAAGCAATTCGAAGAGTTTTAAGATTGTTTCCCCACAACCGCATGGAGTACAAAAGGCACCTGTCTACAGATAAATAGAAAATGAAACGCGTAAACAGAAATGGAGCAGAAAGAAAGTGGAACATGAACACTTAATTGCATTTGGCAAATAAGTGTAAACTTCCTGAATAGGGACACAAATGTGCGTGGCGCCATTGGCAATTGTTCAAGCACACAACTTGAAAAGTTCTACAGTTCGTCAATCATTAAAAACTAACCTGGAGATTGAATTTCAAGAATAACACTGGAGCTGGAGAGATCCCAGAGACAGACAGCGTTATTGCTACAACCTACGGCAAGGCATTGTCTACACTCATCCAAATCACTTCCATAGCCCTACAACCAATCAAAGTGGAAAAATACCACATCAATAACACCCAGAAACAAACCTCCAGAAACCAGTTAAGTTGAAATATGCAATACAAGACCTTTACCTCCAAGAACAAAACGTCCAAAACCCAATGACTGAACTTCGGCAAGGTATGAACTAAACTCAAATCCACGCCGACTGCTTGCCGAGTCTGAGGCCCGGACTCCAATTCAAACCTTAAGTTGAAAATTTTCACTCTCTTCTCACCATACACCACAATTTTGTAAGAAAATGTAGTAGTAGAAGAAGATCCTTCTCTGCAATCCACTAAACTACAAGCAATTCCGTGCACACGAATGCCATCAAAGACATGAAAAGATTGTATCATTTTTCCCGCTTTTAAATCATAAAGTAGTACTTGAGAACCGGAACCTGTTTCGATCAAAGAAAAAAAAGATTAAATATGAACATTTTTGATACAGACATTACTGCTTGTTGAGGATTCAGATTAAAGCAAAAAGAATTGAAAGGCGGCGGAGCTTGTGCTGAAAGCGTACCGGCGAGGAGATAAGGAAGAGAAGAGAGATGAGGTGGAAGATGAAGAAAGCATAGGGCTGAGATTTCGCCGAGATATTGCCAGCTGTGCAGACGCCAATTCCTCTGCTCCTCCGCCATGTCCGTGCTCTCTGTTCTGCTCCGTCCGCGGAAATAGTCGCTGTTTTTGAAGCTTACTGAATTTCAGTTTCCCTAATGAAGGGCTTAATGGGCTCCATCAAAAGTTGGCCATTGAGCCCAATCCCATGGGAACTAAACAAAAGGTTAAACCTCAATTTGGTCCCTCAACTATAATATGGACGTATGATTTGGTCCTTATTGTTTATTAATTTAGTCTCAAGTTGCTTTTTTCATCTAAAATAGATGACGTGTTTCATTATTAATGTAATATATGATTATTAAATAATATTTTTTTATTATTAAATAATAGATATAGTCAATTATTTTTTAACAAAAAGATTAATTTAGAATCAAATTAACAAATAATAAGAATTAAATAAAAAAATTTTAATTTAAAAACTAAATCAGAGATGAATTAAAATCGTGGGTTTAGTCAAACAAAAACTCAGACCAACCTTTTATGGGCTTAATGGTCTGCAAGTGGGCCGTTCAGCTCATAAAACCAAAACGTAAAAAAGATTGCGGTGAGCGTGGATCGAACACGCGACCTTCAGATCTTCAGTCTGACGCTCTCCCAACTGAGCTATCCCCGCACGTTTGTTCCTGCTCTTCATTTTAAAGTTCTCTAATATTGCTTCGTTACGATAGGTATAAATGAAAGTACGTGAGTACACCGTTTTCTCTTATCTTCTAAAATTACGTGTTCTTCTTCTCCGTCTCATCCCTTGCGTTTCGACCATTCTCTCTCGGTTTCGTTTCGTCTGTCAACTGAACTCTGTCGGATGGGGAAGATCCCGTCATTCAAGGAGGAATTCACCTTCGAGCAACGGCTACAAGAATCGCGCGATATCGTCGCAAAATATCCCAATCGGGTTCCGGTAAGTCAGAGTCCCTCCGGCTTCACCCAATTGCCTTTCTTCTGATCAGTACGCAGTCTTAGCGTTCAATCTCCTTGTTTTAGCTTTTTTTTGGAAATCTGATCAATTTTCTGTTTGCAAATTGCGAGGGATTCAGTTTGTTATTCAATTTGCTGAGTAATTATCAATTTTGAAGTTAATGTTGGGGGAATTAATAAAAAATGCCTCTATCATGTTTGTGATTTGTCCTTTTTCAGGTGATTGTGGAAAAGTTTTCAAGAACAGATCTTCCTAACATGGAAAAGAAAAAGTAAGTTTTTTTAGCATTGAGTGCTTCTTTGCCTTACCTTAGACTTCTTCAATTGTGTTGCGTAGGTTGGATGCTATAAGGCTGGTAGCATTTAGGGTAGTCTCTAACCTTGTGACATTGGCAAGATCTAGGGATGTTTAGGTGTTTGCATCTAGGGTTCACGGGTGGGAGGAAAAAATGGAACACAAGGTGTTTAGTTGCTATGTAGTTGTTGTGACATTGTTCTGAATTCCTATCTTGTAGTGCTCAGTCATAGAGTCATAGCAAGTCCTATCTTAATCACCCACAACACATCAGAAGGAAAGAAGTAAATTTCCCTAGTGCTTCTGAACACAAGGGAAGTATGGGTGTAAATAAGTAGTCACAATGTCAAATTCAACAATCAGTCCCATGGAGGACTGCACCTGGTGGTTGTTTATACTTTATACAAGGGTTCTTCCTAGCCTGCTTCCTTTAACCTCCTTTTTATTTCTCTTGGGAAGGTCTACACCTTGAAGTTTATGGGGTTTAGAGAGGGAGAAATGGAATACAAGTATATATTTAGTTGTAGTTGTCTATGGATTGGAAGAGAATGGTTCCAGGAGAATGTTTCTTGGCAATTTAGATTGAGAGAAAGAGAAAGGGTAGCATAAGTTTTGCAAAAGCTAATGCCTTTTCAGTTGTCTTTTCTTTTTAACTTTGTTAATCCCTTAGGTGCCTTGAAGGACAGTATTTAACTCAAATAATACTATCATTTCTTTCCCATTCTTATGCGGATGCTAGGTTTCTGGTACCTCGAGACGTGTCTGTTGGACAATTCATTCACATCTTAAGCTGCAGGCTTCATCTGACTCCAGGAAAAGCTCTCTTTGTATTTGTGAAAAACACCCTACCTCAAACAGGTGGGTAGTCCCAATAAAATTCATACTTATTTCTTTTGTATAATGCTGTTGAATCATGAGATGAGATCATATTCTTGACTGTTTTCTGCAGCTACTCTAATGGACTCTGTATATGAATCCTTCAAGGACGAGGATGGATTTCTTTACATGTGTTACAGCAGCGAGAAAACCTTTGGCAGTGCCAGTAATCACATTTTATACTGAACTTTGTACATTCATGTAAAATCCTTGGATTCTCTGGGTGACAAACTTTAAAAGCTCGGCTGGTATTGGTGCAGAAGCATCCGCGAGTCGTTATTCATTCTGTGAATTCTACAAACATCAGAAGTCGTTAACAATCACTGAATTCTTGATGAGAACTGTGTAACTGTTATTCGGTATGCCAATGATCCGACCATGCAAGATGGTTAGGGTCCTTTCTTCAGTAAGGTTTATCTGTGTTACCTTCCCAAATTCATCAAGGATGAAATAAAAAACTAGTGTGTAGCAAGCCGTATGGTAGTGTTACAGGGATCTAGGCTTTGCATAGGTGTATGTTGTGTTCGACTCATGGTATCATGGAAGAAACAGAGAACACGTTTCATACGTTATGGTCGAAATTGTACTAAATTTGTCTCTTTCTTCATCAACAAAGAGAAACAAATTTTATTCCAACGGCTTTATATTAACCTTCGAAAAAAGTGCATAAATACCTGGAATCTTCAACTCTGTATGTACTTTTATTTTGAAAGAAAATGTGAATACTTGGACAAAATCTATAATCCAAACACCTGAACAAAAGCCAACTCAATTGAGTAATAATTGCAGTAACACTTCCAACAATCCAGGCAATGGAAATTTATATACCAGCATTTCCGACACAACTTGGCAAAACTCGAACTACTTTCTTATCTTCAGGAAAATCTAAGAAAAAAGTTTGTGACCTCCTCCAGTCTTCCAAACGCCACGTACAGGTAATCCTCCAGTTGGGTCTTCGTTACCATCTAACCTATGGTCTAGCTTTTCAGTTTCAGGGTCTGGCTCAGAATTTTTGAGACCTGAGATTGCTTCCATTGAGCCATCACCAAGCCGAAGTCTATGGAATTTTAAAGTTTTCTTCCGCTGCTTACCGCTACCAACCCCTGATCCACCTCCAGTAGAAACGGAATCGTTCTTGTTCCCAATTTGAATCGCAGGTTGATTGTGAGAACTCAGTTCAACCTTAGATTTGCCTTGAGTAGAACGGTACCCTTCCTTTGATAGCACCTCCACCTCTTCTTCTAAAGGATTGTAACTGGACTGCAGTTTCTGGACAGTGCTTATTGTACTATCAGGTAGTGTGTCCTTAGAATTACCATCTTCAGCAACTGGAGACTTCCCTTTCCCTTTCCCTTTCCCTTTCCCTTTCCCTTTCCTAGAGCCATTATCATCTGTCAGCCAAATATTGCCATCGCCACCACTTTTCTCTTGCAGACCATTGCTTCGCATGCTAGCATTGTGAGTCTCAATCAGTTCTCTCTGCTTATGCACATCAGGGCACAGTCTAGCCAGCTCAAGCAGTAGATGTGACAATCCATACTGCTGTACATAATCTAAATATTTTCCTGTGTCAATTAAACCCTGACGATACTGCCCAGAAATGTCTTTAAAAGCAGTGTATTTGTCTTCATCATATTCTAGAGCAGCACGCATCTTTTCAACCAAAGATTTGTTTGCTGTATGAACATCTTCCACATTCAATTGGGCTTGGCTGCTTGAGGGCAACTTCCGCATTTGGGTTGCAGAAACTGGAGGGAAATCAGAAGCAGAAGGTATTGAAGGTTGACTATCAGCAAGATTTGGGGCAGATGCAGAGTGGCTGATCCTACCAGTGTTGCCGGAGCTTGCCCAAGTAGAACCTGATGAAACCAATCCATTAACTGTTGTTGATTGAGCCTTTCCCAGAGCTGAACTTGCATAGCTCAACACTACAGCTCCACTGCTAGCACCATGTGATGTTGCAGGTGCCGTTGGTCTGGATCGGACTGGACCACTTGATGGTTGCACTGGTCTGCGAGTTGCCACTGGCCATGCCTGAGCTGAATTGATAACATTTACTTTTCTCTGGCGCTTTAGATGTGCTGCCATGGTATTACTAGGCAAAGCATCAGAGTTAGGTGTAGCACTTTGTTGACTTAAACTGGGAGCCATGGAAAGAGGGGGAAAAGAAGATTCTTCCAAAGGTACACCTCTGGAGCCTTGTGCAACTGCTTGAAGGTATCTTGAAGATGGCTCAGAATCTGTTGCTGACAATGACTCAAAAGACTGAATAATGGGATCAATATTGTTTGAATCTCCATGATCAGAAACCAACTGCCCACTTGATGATGATGGTTCACCAGCTGTCTCCACCAAACTTGCCTCAATGGCCATGGAAAGCTGATAATCAGAGGGTTCAGGGCAAAATGTCCGCCCCCTTCCACGACGATTATCTTCATTACTTCGACGATATCGGAAGCTAGTCGGTATCTGGCATATCAAGTAAAATTAATAATAGGAAAATCAGGGAAATAACCAACCTACCCTACCAACAAGTGATATTATACCAATGATTGAATCAAAAAAGTTTAATCTTTCAGAGATCCAATAACTGGCAATGGAAGGATGCAAGTACCTGAAGAACAGCATTTCGCTTTGCACGAGACATATGCCCTCCATGTTCAATGGCATTATGCCTCTAAGAGGATGAACAAGTAGTCAAGTCACAAGCAAAAATAGTCAAGAGGGTTACATTTACAGAAAGAAACAAAGAATTGCCAATGACACGTGAGCAATGCAATGCTCTAAGAACCCACCTTCAGTTCAGCTTCAGATAGAAAGACAATAAACTTTTTGGCAAGGCAGGCTTCATCCTCACATAGATAATGATCTCGGCGAAAATGAATCTGCAACCAGAAATTCTCAAAAATCACATTTATATTTTTACATTTAAACACAAGAAGGAAAAAAAGAGAAAAAAAAAAAAAGTGTCTCTTGCCTCTAGATCATCATAGTTTTTATAATATTCATATTGTCCAGGATGTTGCCTGCATGAATTGCATATAAAATAAATCATAATAACTTCAAGATGTATCAGGATAATATAGAATATTTTCTTTTTTAACTCACCTTTGGCATATATGACAGGTATAGTGCTCTGTGGACATGTGTGAGTATAATTCATTATCCCCATAGAACGGGGTCCTGCAAAATTCACACGTAGGATGCCCATTGAAGCCACCTCTGTCACTCTCACTACCATCCACATCACTATCACCTGTGCTTATATGGTGATTGAGCTGCGCTCGGGTATATAACTTTTGTTCACAAATAAACACCTACACCATTCAAACAGAACCAGTAAGACAATAAGCATTACTAAGCCCTTTTGAATGGGCTGTGGAAACTAGTTCATCTCAATGGAAATTAAGTATTATGACAATGCAAACCAAATAGAAAAAAGGCAACACATTTTATCTACCAAGTTGGTCATACCTTCATGTGGACAGCTGACAGCTGTGTATAAAGTTCTATTAATAAAAGAACCCACAGAATGTGTCATTTTCAATGGACAGTTCCTCGATTACCATGATGATTATGGTCAATGATAATCACAAAAAAATTGCTATTAATCATGAGTTATATATCATCCACTCCCAAATAATAACTGGTATAGGAATGAGACTAAGTCAAATGAACCCACTTCTGAAATTCAATATTAAACCAATCAAAGAACTCTCAGAAGAATCCCAAAAGATGCCAAACATGTTATCTTACCTTCCGTCCTTCCAAACATAGGCTGCACATAAGCAACTTATGACGATGAAACAAATGACCCTTCAACTGCTCAATGTTCCTAAACTTTGCCCGACGCTTGGATCCATCATTTGGTTGCTCATCCATCTTGTCACATACACTGCACGAGAGTCTGCACATTGCCTTGATCATCTTGTAGTGGTTCACATCATCAAAAAATGCTTGTGTATCTTCATGGTACCAATATGGTCCCCCTTTACCCTCCCTTAACTCAGATGACAAGGCAGAAAAGTCATTGATCATACTTGTATAATTCCCTAAGGCCTGTTGTAGACAACAACATAAGCTCAAATACTTACACATAATGTTATATGACAAAACAAAAGCAACCAGCACAGAAGGAAGAAATTATAATTACAGTAAAATCAATTAATAACCAAAAGTTTTCTAGATGCTTTGTTACGATGGGCAAGTTCATCCTCAGATAAACTCCAGTTTTCAGCTTCAAAAGATTAAGAATACAATTATACTAAGAGAACATAACCACTTTATTTAACCGGAAAAGTTGCATAAAAGAACCGCCAGTAGATCGATAGAATATAGTAAATACCATTTAAATTTTGCACATTTTAGTAGGCTAAAAAGCTTTGTGTGCTAAGACACAGTTGCACTTCCAGCCGCATTGTAGGAGTACAAAGCTGAAAAATTTTGAGGTCAAATCAACCTAATCATGCTCATAATTATAAAGGAGTTTCAGAAAATGATAAGCACATCATAAATTATTAAGTGTTGATTTGGGTTGATTTCCAAATCCAGCAGTTGAAATGCTGGTGTTATATTTACTATTACATATCTAATATCTCTAATGATTAGATTCAGAAATCAACAGTACACGTGTTACTAGATCATGACTCAGTGACTCTTGAACTACGCCTAAAAGGCTAGGCAACTCTTACACATTCAACTGAGAAGATCTCGGCTCAATATTTGAAGCTTGTTGAACAACTATAGGCTAAGGCAAGATAAACAATGTTTGAAGTTGGGCTACCCAGATACAGGTGTAAGATTCTTCAATTTACAGAAAACATAGAAAAGAAATAAAATTGCAATGCATACCTAATGTAATAGAAACAACAGCATAATAAATACATAAATTTAAGTTCTAAGAACTGTTAATAGGCTAAAAGCCATATGTATTGACATGAAAGGATTATTCAAAGTAAATTTACCCTAAGAGGAGCATTGATTAATCCAATTCCAAAGCAAAATTGAAATTAATAGTCTCAAAAGAAAGAATCGGAAAAAAGGTCAAAACCCATAACCTTGGTGACAAAAACAACGTTGCATTCTGTCTTGCAGATGCAGCAGCGGCGATCCTCGCAGATGAAGCGGAGGCGAGCCACGCACGTCGAGCACACTTCCCGATGACCGCAGTCACCGTAGGCGACCCATTCCAAACGCTCAGCGCATACAGCACAGCTATCGTCCATCTCCCCCTTAACGATGATATTCAAGGAGACGAAATCAAGCTGATTGATAAAGAATTAACGACTCTCGGAAGAAGAGAAAGAAGATCTAAGGGCTTTGATCGGTAACGGTAAGAGAGACGCTGGCTGAGGAATTAGCAGCTCCGGAAGGGAAGGGAAAAGGCTGCCGTCCGGCGATGTCTATGAAGATTGAATGATGAACAGAGCAAAGATGTAATTGTGATTTTCTTTCGTTTGTTCTTTATGGTTAATCTCAATTAAGCTCAGCCGAGGAAGCCCAGTGGACCAGGATGGATGAGCCCAACTGCCCAAGCAAAGAATAAAGATATCCTGGTGGGGCAAATATATATCAGGGAAATGCTTTTTTTATAATCTTTTTATTTTTATTTTTTTTTTACATTTTGAGATATCATTAAAATGATTAATTTTTTTAATTTATATAAAATATTTGATATTAAATACATTTATTCATTTAATAACATGTAAAAATTATATAAAAAGGTGATATAAAAAGATTGTCCTATAGTACCACCTATATGTTATTAACTTATTATATAGGAAAAATACATATAAATCCTGATTTTTAATAAAAATTAAAGTTTTAAT